GTATTCAAGTGTCTCGATTTTTTGTTTTTGCTGAATTTCATTTTTGATTTCCTTAATTTGTTCTACTCCAATATTATGGATAAATTTCAAAATGTTATTTATTTCATTGATGTCTCTGCAACTTTTCAAAATCTTCTGTATAATAGTTATCTTATTAACATTGCTCTCTGGCACTATAAATAAACTTAGTTTTATAAAGATTTTTTTTTTTAATCGAATCTTTTTTAATATTAAATAGAATAAATGATCTTACAATTTTCATCTTTTTCATTCAAATACACAATATTTGTCCAAAAATTCATTACTACGTAACTTGTAAAAGTATTCTATAAAAAATAAAAGCATTAATATTGTAATTAAAATTACATTTAAAATCATAAGAACCAAAACTATATACTAGTGAACAAATATTCGTCTAATCACTCGAAATTATATAATGATCAAAGTAGGAACCAGTCAAAAATTACTAAGGTTATCTTTGTAACCAGATAATCATTGATGCGAAACTAATTTAGTAGTCTCCTGATCCCTTAAAGACTTTAAGATATCCAAATTGCAATAAAACAGAAACTAGTCAAAAATTGCTAAGGTCATAACTTTGTAACCAGATAATTTTTGACGCAAACTAATTTAGTAGTTTTTGGCCCATGAAGATATATTAAGGTCTTAACAAGAAACTAATTTAGTAGTCTCTTGTTTTTGATAGTAGAACACTTGCATAACTTTGATTCTTCATTACTGCTTACCGGCATATTTTTTTAATTAATTCAAGTTTATCCTTTGGAAATTTTTTATTTTTTCGCTTAGTTAGTTCTATCAGAAAATGTATTTAGCATCAATAGGGTTAAAAAATCAGTCATAAACATAAAAAATTTCAAAATCAGATATACCGTTAATCATTAGATCTAAACGTTCCAAATATTTTTTATGTAAAATTTTTCGGTCGTTAACATCGAGAGCTACCTTTTCTTTACAAAATTCTAAAAACCTTAACAGTTTTATATCTTCATATGTAGAATTTTTTGATTTTTTAATTTCAATGATAAATTCATTGAAGAAATATTCAGCATCTTGTAAATTTAGCATTATTTTGTGTTTTTAAGCAAGTATAATTTTAAAAACAAACCCCTTTTATTTTGATAAATAAATGACGTCATTAAATTCTTATCATGTGATTGTGTTTTTTAAAAAACTGACATATCAATATATCAGATCCAAATCTAACATTAATATAAATAAATAGTTCAATTCGGGTACCATAAGTATAATATAAATAGTACCTGTACTTGGGAAGAAAATA